ATCTAGACATATTAGTACCCTGTGTAAATGCTGTCATTTATCCATGCAAACATAATTATTAGAAGAATTCTTCTGGAGAAGAATTTAATTTTTATTTTAAAATAGCTTTCCAAATTCCAACAGTAATTTCATTTTCACATAAGACAAGATGCACAGAGACAAACCTTTGCTCATACTAGTATTACCTAGCAAGAGTATACAATTTTCTTGTCAATGTATTAGAATTGGCTTACGATGCAGCTGAGAGTTTAATCGTGGGCTACGTTAGCATTCTACAATTCCATTATGAATCCCACTTGTTATTTCTTCCCATTGTTTTGTGTTTTTGGGGTGTTTTTGTTGTTGTCATTGTTGTTGTGGAGTTTTGTTTGTTTTTGTTTTGTTTTTTGTTTTTTGCATATATTATTTTAAGGAATAAGTGCAAATTGTTGCTATCTAACAAAAGCAACTGTTGAGATCTTTCTGAAATGTAAGTATAGGTCACAGTAGCCCATACTTGCCATAATCTGCTTAATATCAAGTGTCATGTAAATCTGCATTGCTTTACAACATACTGTTTTCATGTAGTATATCTTCAAGCCTAGACTGAAACCTAAAATGTGATTAGTATAATTTTCTGAGTTAACAAAATTCATGAAGAGACCACAACAGCCATAAAGGCTTCATAACTTCTGAATGAAATCCCGAGATTAAAATATTTTGGTTCAAATTCACACAAAGTAATTCCAAGCAGTCCTACCGTGCTACACAAGTTTCAACCTTGCAGTCTGAGCAAGCCAAAAAAGCCTTGCATTTGCATGTAAGAAATGTAGTTTAGGAATCATCCTTTATGACCAAACTATTGAATGTGAAGATGGAGAAACCTACTTGGTGTTACCATAGGTGAGCTTTCAGGAACACACAACATTGAGTAAGCTTTCTTGGAACTGCTTGCAGCTCAAAGACCTTGAAAAGCCAGTGTTTTTTTCCTCACAAACCACAATGAACATCAGAGTTGGCATTCAATTGTCACAACATCAGAGCAGCTATTTGAAGTAGAAAGCTAAAGATAATTACGAGGTTATGACGCTTCTTTCTTATCTGAGATGACTGTGTATTGATTAATATTTCAGAAATCTTATTTTCTTAGGAAATTTCATAGCAAAACATGAAACATGTTCAATGATGTATTTAGAAATGTCATTGATGTTGCAAGTCCAAGTTAAAGACATAATGGGATTTTCATCTCATAGTCAAAAACAGTTGTTCATAAATACAGATGATCTTTACCTCCAGGCTTCAGATGTGTCAGAAAAATATTTGATTTCTGTAGGATAGATATCTTAAATATATGTATCTGGGTTTGCTGCAGATCTTAATATTTGTGATTATCTTATTACAGCAGTGTGGCTAAAAAGCTGGGTAGGTGCTGACAGCGTTTCTGGCATGTCTGCCTAATAGATTTTGCTCTTCTACTTTTGCCTGGAAGACCAACCAGTTATAGTATATAGTGTGGTGTCATAAACTCCTGGAGGTGAGAGTACGTGTTACACACTGCTGGAGAGTGTGAAATCCACACTATCCAGTACTAATTGCTATCTGTTTATTTTAAATTTCCTGGTTCATAAAAACCAACTTCCATTCTTGAATAATTTACACTGTATTTCATTCTGCTTGTGGTTGCCTGTGGTCATCCAGATTTCCAACCGTCTGGTCTTGTATCAAATGAAAACGCAGGGGGAAATATTTAAGAAGTACCAGTGCAGCTAGGTGACTCTGCTATTCCTTTACTTGAATTTTTCTTTTCTTTGTACTTGCCAGCTAGAAAAATGAGAGAATACCTCATTATTAAACCATACAGTATATCAGTTCCCTAAAGGATTCTGGCATTCTTATTTGACGCTAAGACTTATATTCATAGACAACGCACTCAATCATTTTCCTTTTTGATTAATTTCTTATTCTTCCTTTCCATTAGTTTCTGAGAATAAATCAGCAACATATCAATATTCCTTTGGCTACATGGCAAAATATGGATATTTCTCCAAACTTATTTTTTGTTATTCCTCTAATAGCTGCTTAAAGGTTTATGAGAAAAAATAAAACCTACCGTAGGGATAATCTCAAAGATGGCAAGCAGCTTTTGCCAAATGGTTCGCAGCAGCCGTGCAATTACCTTATCACTTTATTTCTCCAAAGGGAAACACTCTTTTCTCATCCTTTTGCTGCAGAATTTGTGAAACTCTTAAAAAAAAAAAAAAAAAAAAAAAAAACCTTTCTATTTTAAAGGTCTGATTTAACATGAAAATTATATGCATTGTAAATGTTTTCTCTGCAATTTACTTGTCATAAATGTCTATTGTACTCAAAACCTCTACAGGGAGTTGGTTATATTTATACTGCATGTACTTACAAATTTGTTAAAAAAAAAAAAGACACAATGACAATAAGAATAGAAATATTTTGACTAGTTAAAAAACCCTGGATACAAAGATTGATTTCAGCTCAAATGCAACTGTCCATGGTTTGTGTTTAAACTGGACTTTATAGTAGGAATTAGGTACATGCTATCGTACTTTTATAATCAGGAAATCACCAAACTGAATACAAATATTGTGTAGGATTGTCAAAAGATATCCAAAGCACTTGCACACAAAAATATTGCAAGAAATAATGCAGAGGGCTCAAATCACTGCTATCTTTGTGCTAATTTTATTCTGATGCAATGCTCTGATTTTTGTGGGAAAAAAAAGTAGTCCAAAAAATGCTTCTGTAGTCCAAGCTGTGGTCTAGTTTGAATCCTACAGGCAGAGAGAGTTCTTTGGAAAGCCCTTTTTGGCTTCCATGAGGAAAGGACCTTATTGGCTGATGGCTCCACAGAAAAAAAGTGAAAGAACTCAATTTTCACCAAAAGTAGCCTTAATCAGGCACTCAGCCCCCATCAGCACTCGGTTATTAGAGTTATTCACTGGAAAGGCAGCAGGATTTGAGGTGGAATAGTTGTTTCAAGCTCTCACATGACTGAGATACAAATACTTTAATTCTCATAGGGAAAATGCTTCCATTGGAAAGTCTTGTGCAACAGTTTGTATTTCACAGTCTTCAATTATCGTTTAAAAACTATTAGCTGGTTGATTTTATTTAAATACAGTTGCTCATAGTGGACTGTATTCCTGTGTATTTGGCCACTGTGTGTGACAGAGGGGTGTTTGTGTGTGCTCCTATGAGGATGCAGCATGATCTCTGTTATGCATGCCTTCAAAATGCTGGACGTCTTGGGAGCATTCACAGATGTGGGAGAAACCAAAGGCACACAAATGCAGTTCAGAAGTGTTCTTTATTACTTGATTAGGACTGTTTGGGTATTTATTCATGAAGAAAAAAAAAATGCCAGAATCTGTTCACTAAAACTAATCCTTTTCCTTCAGAAATCTGCCTTCTTGGAGGAGTTTTAATAAATTGTTTCAAATTCATAAACTATATCTAATTTGGATGAAATGTTTTCTAAATGGAAGTGTACCAAGATGTTTAAGCTTAGACTAACTTTCATTGAAAAGCATAAAATAATGACGCTACTTACATTTAAAATGCTGGAATTTAAACAATGTTTTGAAACAATAAACAAAATCCTTTTATGTTTAATGAGAAATTTTTCCTGATCTTTCAGTTAGGGATGATTTTGGGATCTTAGCCTGCTCAGGCTTTTTGGAGCTGTGGATTTCCTCTTTATGTGTGACAACACGTAGAGATGGAAAACCTTTTCCTGTCAGGCCTTGCATACTGTATGTTATGGACAGAAGGGAAAGTGAGCCCTGAGATTCTATCCCCTGCCTGCAAGCAAATAAGTGTTGTCAGATGGTCTTCCTCAACAATTTTATTGAAAGAAAGTTGTCCTCATTAAAGCTTTAGCTATGCAAGGACCGCAATAGTGACAGAGTTGTTCAAGAAGTCACTGACAGATCCAGAAAATAAAATCAAATATTTTTGTTATATACGAATGATCATGGTATCTCTGGTGAGTGACTGTGATGTATTGAAACAATCATAAACCATCAAATGAATCAGTGCATCAAAAAATAGCAAGCTTTGGCATGACAAGAGCAATTCATTCTAGAGCATTCTCTTCGTAATTTTGTCAGTTATCCTAGTAAACCTCAAAATGTGTAGTCTTACCATCAACTGAATGTCCTGCTGGCATCGAGCTTTGGTTCCCTGCTGAAACGCAGGCTGGTGGCACAGGGCTGCCCTCTGATTTTACATCTTAGCAACTGAAGCTGCTGCCAAGCCAATTTTTTACTGAGTACCAGTCCCAAGAGACCTAGGAGCTGTGTAAGGCATGGAAGGAATATCACTGCTATCTTGATAGCCATGGAGCGTCTTTGTTAGCCTCTGTACGTTTGTTAACAGTGAAACAGCTGAGCTGGCAGTGGGTCTGCTTGTGTTCCTGCCTGCTGAGACAGGCTTCCCTGGAACAGCACACGGATCTAACAAACTGCAGTAGCGTTGCTCCTGTGCAGATTCTGTGCAATAAAATCAGAATGCGCAGTGCTGTATGGCAGGCTCATGGCTGAGTGTCACTGAGGAGCCCAAATTAAATCATACCTCCAGAAGTTGCAGTTCCCCAGGTACCAATATGAAAATAATCCAGCTCTAAAGATAAATTTTCCCCACACCTCAAAAGCAGAGTACATCAAATTTTGCAAGAAGGAAAAAAAACAGTAGCTGTAGGGATGGTTTCAGCAATTTTAGTGTGTGTAGAGGAAACCTGGGGCTATTAGCATATTTTTTACCTTTTTGACAGCAAGTAATGTTCTGTGGCAGACAAATCTACAGGAAATAAAATTTTATGATGTGATGTAGCCATACTGGTTATATATCTGTACAGTGCTGGCAGACTATCAAAAGACGCACACTTCGAACATTTTTGAATGTGACTTGAAAGCAGCTTGACTTCTGTAATCATAAACACTGACAAGTATGCTCTGCGTGCTCACACCAGATGATGTCTCTTTTCATATTAGAGTGATGGTGGTGTACAACTCATCCAGCAAGTTCAAGGGGAACTCTAAGGAGAATGAATTGTTTCTGTCTCACCTAAATGTTGATTACCAACCAGTTGGACTAAAACAGGAACGTCATGCATAGCACTGTAATTCCTCCATTTTCTATCTTGTTACGTTACTTTTAGAATACCTATAAATACTGCTGATAACCCTTTCTTTTCCTTTGTAAGTGTTCTAGCAATCTAGAGCCAAAGCTTCTTTCCATTTGTCCTAGAATAATCCCCGATGGATGGTACTGCTAATGTAAAAGTGAGGACAGCTAATTGCAGACATAAGTCTTTCTTTATGTGTGTACATGTATGAGTATTTACAAGAAAAATTCTGACCAGTCTATACTTAATTTTAAATCTTTTTCTTACTCTCCCCAAGTTAATAATGTTAAATAGATATAGATCAGTTGTAAGCATAAGTTTCAAAAATACCTCTCTCTTCAAGCTGCTGTTTCTACCTACTAGAAATGATGCAAGTGATTTCTGTCCACATTGAAAATCAGAGTAATTTGTGATGTCATTCCCTTTCTCTCTGTGCATAGGTAGTAAAACCAAGCTGAAATTGCCTTTCAAGAATGAGTTTCGGTGGAAGAATCAAAATCAAGCCTGCCAGTGTGAGGAAATCCAATTGTGTTGTCAAGTACTTTTCTTTCATGAGAAAGGCTACACGTCATCTATAAACATGGAAGTGCAAGCAAGTAATCTAATCTAATCTAATCTAAGTGATCTAATATAAGGAAGGTATGTTCTGCTTTCTGCTATCATCCTGAAAGAATGATTCAAAAAGGTGATTCTTTCTTCTTTTTTTCCATTATTTTACTGTGGCCCAGATTCCCTGTACTGGTCAGTAAGATAGGAACGTAATGTGCAATTTGTTGGAGGCTTTCTTTTCTTCATGCTAGCAATGAAGCTCAGTGCAGGACTGACTCCCAGAATGCAGACAGAGCTGCCTGGTTTTGAAGGTTCATAATTCAGTCAATCTGACTTCAGTTCTCTGCTCAGCGATCTTCGCCGCATCTGAGGAACCACAGGCAAACCTGGCACTTGAAGTGTGTATGGGGAGGGCATGAATCTTTAGGATTTTTTTTTTACAGTGTATTTAAAACACGGGACTTGGGTGTGTAAAAGCTCGACTTCTTGCCTGTCATTGTTAGTTCCTGCTTTTCCAGATAGCACCTCTTCCATTGCACCTTGCCTCTGTTGAGGCATCAGATCTTCACAGCAGCAGTGCAGCCGATGGGATCGGTAGCTGACTTGTAGCCAGACAAGTATATCTGCACATATGCCTTGGAAACTTGCGGGGCAGCACTGTAGAGATGCTGTCAGTCTGCAGAGAGGCAAACTGGCATGCAGAGCGGGCAGCCAGCTCCTAGAGTGGGGCTTTGCTTGGAGCATGGTACGCTGTCTCTTGAGAGTTAAAACAGATGCCAAGTGGAGGATTCTGTCTCCCTCTGCGTGCTGTGCCACTAGGGGCACAGGCTGGGTGTGCAGGCTGATGTGGCTTATGGGAGTAGAGCCCACCCCGTGACAAACGTAATCCCTGATGTGAGTCTTAGGGGAGGACTTGCTTTCGTTCCTAACCAGGAAATATATCTCCCACCAATACTGAAGCAGATCAGCTAAAGAAATAAAGTGTTTTTTTAGAGAGGAATACACAGAGTGTAGCAAGACATTCAGCATACCAATTTTCAGCAGGCTTTCTGCAAAATTAAATAAAATAAGCAGGTGCTCCTTTAGAAATGTAGTGTTTTTTGGTTTTTTTTTTTTTTTTTTTTTTTTTTGCTGAGGGCTGTTTCAGTATACAATGCTAATACTGCCATGCCAGATTTTACACAACAGCTGCCACTGATGCTGGCTGCTATGAAAAAAAAAACCTCCTGAAGTGATCTGTTCTATAAGCTTCTCAGTTTAAACCATAGCTGTACCTCATGGCTGTGATTTACCTGTGGAAGCTTAGCATTAGCTTGGTCAGGAATGCTGTGCTTAGCCTTTGCTCAAAGTCGAGTTAAAATCTACAATGGAAAATTTTGTGCAGTGAAATGCATTAGTATTCCATAGAAGTCAGAATACACCTATACACTGACCTCTATTTTGAATCAATTTTACAGCTTTAAATGATTAAGGCTTGAAATAAATGATTGAATATGCCTTGTGAGAATATGTGCAGTGAATAAAAAGATGACAGATACTTCATTTTCTGCTGAGACCTGGAGAAGACTCATGTTAAAAAAATTAGCAGAGTGATGATGGGGTAGTAATCTGAATTTTCATTTTCAATTAACAGAGGGATTTGCTTAACCACGATTTTCCTGGGATGTTTAGAATCTTTCTTAACATAGTATTGCTTTTTGAGCCCTACTGTCCTCTCCTTTTAACTTTATGAAGTTATATGTCTATGCTGGAGCTGTCCACTGATAGAAAGAAACTTATAACAGATGTTCCCAGCTGAAAAGAGGCTGCATTGATTTCCCTATGGCTGGCTGTTAAACTGTAAAATCATTTCAGGCACTTGACCTGTGATTTGAGAAGACTTAGGAACGGATCTGAAATCTTTAGGAGTGCTATTAGATAATATATAATACATGTGTGGCAAAAAGAGACAGTAGCATCCACTCAGATCTAGCTTTTAGGCCCAGTATTTAAGTATGTATTTCTTGAGAGGCTCCAGTGTACTCTATAATTAATGTATTCAGTAATTTATCACCAAAACCTGTGGGAAATAATGCCCTTTAACAGCAGATAGAAAGATCACCTTTTTAAAATTCACTGAGCAGAACCTATGCAGACCGGTGTCTCCTCCCTCCTTTCGGACCTGAAGGTACTTCCACTTTTTGTTTTATTAAAGTTCTTATTTGTCTGGACATTAATGTTATTGAGCACGTTGTTGGAAATCATGGGACTGATCTTGCACTTCTGTCAGTGAAGCTGACCCAGCAGTGTCAAACCTTATGTACGTTTATTTCCTGGACAGACAGAAGAGGCAATTTCAAACAAAATAGGCAGACAGAAATTTCCTTTTGGAGAAGAGTTCTCAAAATAAAGTGTTGTTTGCTAGCAGAACATTTCTTTATACTTTCTGCACAATTAGCACTCTAGCTAGAAGTCATCTTTATAAACCTTGTATTGCTTCAGGAAAGGGCCTTTCTGTGATTTTGCTGCTAGGGATTCAGATCAGCACAAGACATTGAAGAAAGATTGTTCCCGTGGAAAATGGATCCCCCTCGGCCTTGGCACCATGCTAGCAAAAAACATAGCATGTCCACAGGCCTTTGGTACTGGCATGCACCCCCAGCTGTGCTGTGCTTTCCAACCTGCAGCAGGGCAGCTGGGACAACAGCAAGCTTTGTGTTTTTCATCAGAGTAATATGCAGAAATTTTGGAGGTATATATGCAGAAGCCTAGAGGAGTAGGGCCACCACTAAGAGAAAGCAAAATTGTCTGATGTATGCACTGTGCTATACTCTTAAATTCAATACTAAAGTTCCTTACTAATACTGTAATCAAATATTACACAGATGAAGCATGTTCCTTTCTGTGCTATAGTAGATATTTTGTGCAAAGCACTATCAATACAAGCAAATTAAGCCTAATAAATGAAATCACTTCATATTAGTAATTTTCAAAAGACTTTGTCTGTTCCCATAAAAGTAAATCCTATATCTTACCCACTTAAACTGCCATTGGTACTAAGCCTTCCCTATATAATGGTAGCTGCTCATTTATCTTGCACAAGTGATAGTCTTTTTTAGCTGACCTGTGGTGTGACTTTAGCTGAATAGAATGCAAAACAGGAGCTGATAGAGAACATTTTTACATCTGAAGGTCATAAATATTGAACAAAATCCCTGTCAGGCTTGTAAAGATGCGTCACGCCTCTTTTGGTTTTGCAGTCTGTCTTTAAAAAGCAAAGGTCTAGCAAGAGTATTGGAGTATATATAGAATATTTCTTCACACATCTAAAGGAATGCAGACCCGCTTCTAGAAATTTATAAATTTGTAATAAACACAAACACTATGAGCTTCAAAATGCTACATTAATGCAGTGCTAGCACTTTAATATAAGGCACTCAAAAATCGGAATATTTTAGAAGGTTAGGCAGTTCTAAGTGTAATGTGTCTATGCTGCATATCCCACATTACATATGGCATATTTTAATAGTAAAAATGTATTAAAGCTTACATTTAAAAACCACTTTCTTGTTCGATATGTGAAGCTTATGGTAATGAAGAGTGTGAGACAAAGTCAGACTTGAAGGTGATCTCTTCAGTGGTTAGGAATTTTCAAACTCAAGTTTCACATGTCCTTTTTGGCTGTCAGATTTTTCATTTAAACACGCATCAAGTAAGGTAGTTGAAATAAACAGTTTTCTCATAGTTAATCAGTTTGCTATTTAAATAACATCAGTACCTCTGAACTACAATGGTGTGGTTTTTGGTTTTTGTTTTTGTTTTTTTTTTTAAAGGAGAGATTGATATACCTGACTTGAATTTAACTACAAATTTAAAAAAAAAAAGAAAGAAAGAAAGAAAAAAAAAAAAAAAAAAAAACCAAAAACAGATTTTTGAAAGTGCCCACTACCTTTTAAGACGATTATCCATAACCCGTGAAGCAAATTTTGGGAAAAGAAATGGCTGTGGGATGCTTCATACTCTTTTTTTGAGTCCAACATTGAAAATTCTGTGTCAAATTGATCTGATGAGAGGCTTGGAATGGATGTTATTTTGATTTCAGACTTTGTTTCATGGGTGCTTCAATATTATTAGTTCATAATGTGCTATCTGGCATTACTAAAATTTTCACGTATCTTAATGTCTCCCTGTTTGGATACACATAAAGCAGCATCAGTGGATGTTTCAGATTAATATTACAGCGCCATTTTGATGAGATGTGCATCAGAAATTTCATGACCCTCCCGTGGTCTTCTAAAGAATGTTCTTGGGTGGCTAACCTTGACACCTACTTTTAGGAATCTGACATCAACTGGAGGTCTGAGCCCGAACTTGTCATTCTTTCACTGAATCAGCATGGCTTCTCACTCTGGCTCTGCTTGTCAGTTATCTGGGAGAGTATGGATATGGATGGGACCTGAAAATGGACGTTTCATCTCCTTGGATCCCATGTGCCACCACCAGGGTTGGTACACACAGCCCTCCAGCCACTTCCCGTGACTCCACAGATTACAAGACTTCAGCAGGGAACAGGGTACTCCTGCCACACAACTCACCCTCAGGCTTAATGATTTGTGTCCTCACTAAGTCACTTCCACGTTTCTTATTATCTATGAATATAACTAGTATCTCCATGGGAGGCTGAGCTCAACCTGTTCTCATTTACCATTTACTGGATTGCCTAAATTGAGCATACTGATCTCAGTTGTTATATAATGAAAAGTGGAAAAAATGACACTGTTGAATTCCTAACTTGTTCAACTACTAAATAGTTTTCCCTTTTTCCATTTTTTTTTTTTTTTTTGGCTTTAAGCTAAAGATCTCAGTAGAAGAGACATTAATCTGTAATTTCTTGTTTGTGTGTTTTTAAATTGTTCTTAGAACATAAACTATCATGTAGCATGTGGATGTTCAAAAACAGTTCCTAAGAATGATCTGTAGACTAACACTGGTTAATTTTTTTAAGTAGAGTCACGCAGAATCGTTGATGTTTTAAAAAAATATTTGTGTGTTAGGAGTAATAACATTACACTGCCTTCTTTGTTGATGGCAATGGTTGCAGAGAGTCTATTCTAGATAGAAAATAATCCCATACATATTCTGAATCTAAATAAGATATGGCAGTCTTTATTGTGCAGGTGCATGTCTTTCACCCATCTGCACAGATAAAGCAAAATGATGCTTCATGAGTGTTTCTTGCTCTGCCTGTCGGATTAGGAGCACACTGTCAGAATCAGACTACAATTTGTATTCTTGAAACGAGGTAGCCACTTTGCAGTTTGTGTTACAACAGAGTAGTTGTAGGAATTTAACAGTCTCAAAAAATAATCCTCCTTTGTTTAAGATGTGCTCCATTTTGGCCTCAGCCTGCTTGCCTGCTAGCATTTTCCTGCTGGGGATGCTGGTTGCTCTTATTTCAGAATTAACAGCCTTTTAGCCAAAAATGGCCTTTCTCGCTGTTGAGGGTTCAGTGGGAAATAAATGATGGAAACAAAATGGAACAGAAATAAAAAGCAGATGGGGAGGGAGAACAGCTTTTCTTTTCTTTTTTTTTTTTTCCTATCAGAACTAAATTCAACAGGATAAACAGATTATATATTTATAAATTAAGACATGTTTTTCTAAACAGTGAGCAGCATTCTTGGATTTGATATTCTGCGTCAGTCTGTTTCTCACTGAAATTGCTTTTTTCTTCACCACACTTGTTGTTGGAAGTCATGCAAACCTCTGCGTGCTGAAAAGCTGTGGTCACTGAGGGTTGCTCGTCCCATTTGCTGAACAACATGTCACCAAATAGAGCCAGGAACAGGGGGGCTCTGTGCTCCTGAGACAAACAGGAAATTGGAATCCCAGTGACATGGTGAGTTTTGAGTCATGATGAGCTGGTGAGTGCTGCTGGGGTTTCAGGAAGGAAGACTCCTCCTCACCTGGCAAGATCTACAGGGCTGGTCAGGATTCCAGAGCATGTTTCCAGCAGCAGAATTTAAAACTTGTGCAAGGGAAAGAAGAGGGATATTATTAGAGTTGCAGGAGACTTCTTGTCCCAAGATGAGCTCCGCAAGGCTTTGTGCGCTCTGTGCCCAATCGGCTTCTGAAGGGCTCCACGTCATCTGCTGCTGGCTTTGGCAGGTGGGGGAAGCCATTCTGCTGGTCATGTGCAAGTCCTCAGAGGGCCCATCTGAAAACCCTACTCAGTAGCTGAAGGATAACCTCCATATTTATTAGGGACTGTTACAAGAGAGGTGAAACTTAATCTTTCTGTAAGAATGATTTTAGCTGAAACTTGCTAAAACAATTTGCCCCTGGGCTGGTACAAAGTCGGAGAATATCACCAGAGAGGGAGACTCTCTGGTTTCAGAGAGTTGTCTGCATGAAAGTACCTGAAAGTTATAATGACATTCCTGACATAACCTTAACAGCTCATGCTACTTGAAGCTTGCTATAATAATGTATCTTATCTGACCCAAATCCAACAACAAATAGTTTTGTTCTCTTTTCCTGTGCATTTTGCTGCTGGCTACAGATAAAATTGAGTGTGTTCCATTCAAAGAATATTAGTATCTAGATACCAATTATTCACCCACTTGCAGGTACAAAAAGAATAGTAAAGGGTATTTGCTGAACATAATGACTTCATTAAGCAAACTGGAACACAAATAGCTCAGTATTACTGAAACAAAGAGTTTTCGTATGTTGAAGAATGGCATAGGTGTGAGTGCTCCACTTTCATGGAAAAAAAAAAATTGTGATGCCTTTGATAAATGTTATCACAAAACCAAACTGGGTGCGATTAAAATGTGTCATGTCTTTATGTGTTGTGGATATGGTCTAAACTCTTGCAGCTATTTTTCTCATGTCTATCGAAAGAGAAGGACTCTTAATTCATAATTTATAAGTGTAGCCACTCCAGTGAGTGTGACTGCAGGCTGCTGTGCTGCCTTTGTGACCGACAGATCACAAGCAGATTACTAAGCAGAAGCAGCATCATCCCTTCTGGAGTTAAACCCTCTCCCTCCTCTCTCCCCCATCCCATCATAAGTATTTTCTTTTAGAAATCTTTGGATGCTAAGTCCTTTGCCTGCTGTCACACAGCACATTAGATGGTCATTTCCGCACTGTTTTGCAGATGAAAAGACTGGAAATAACACCATGCTGACAGAGTAGAGACGGTCTCTATCGATCAGTACATCTAACATGGTAATAAGAATGTAAACTCAACCTGGTGCTGCTTTCCTTCAAAGCTGAGCTTTCCTTTTCCACAGGCCTGCAGTCATCTCTCAAGATGTCAATATGTCCTGATAGAGCTTTTAGACACTTATCAATATTTAACTACACTCCTATTGATTCAGCAATTACACAATAATTGATTTAAGATTGATTATCATTATATTAACATTTTAGTGGTCAAAGGCTAATAAGACTAACTGAATGTGAAATTATTTTAGATTTTTATTGTCTTTGTGCATGCCCATGACTGTTACTTTCCATCAGATTTTTATACCTGTTCTTATATCATTCACTAAAAAGTAATTCAAGCTATTTTTAATAGCCATATTATTTTCCAGAATGAAGCTATATTTTCCTAGCACTTTTTTTTAAACTAATATATAGTTAAAATATTATTATTATGTATTACGTATGTATTATATAATATATTATAATGCATATTATATTATTAAAATGTTATATTAAAATATATAAAATGTAGCTCTTCAGAATATTTTGTTATTAGTGAAAACATAGAAATGTTGGGTACAGGGAAATAGCATAAGAGGCACTTAGCTGAAGGATAAGACAACAAAATTATTTTGTCAGCTGTAGTATTGTGTGTGTGAGGGCTGGTTTTGATGAATGATGTTTTTCATGAATCAGTTATATTGATTTCTTGCATGGAGAGGTCTCAGGTGTAGGCAGAGCTCTAACGGGTTTGAGCTCTGCCAGCTGTGGTGTAAATAAATATTAGCCAAGGAAAATACCCGATAAATAAAACCTAGACCGTAGAAAGATGGATTCTTTTTCAGTATGACAGTGGTTAACTCAGTCCTATTGATCCCGTCAGGACTTTTGGTGTGTGAGGTGGAGCCAGAGGCTGAGAAGCCACAATCTGTGTTGTGAGAGCAGCAGCTCAGGAGAGCAGGGTATCTGCAGCCTGCATCTTCTCAGGGTTATGCATGCTAGACAGAGGCTCTAAACTTAAATAAAGGACCATTTTTTTGAACAACTGAAATAGAAACAAATTGAACCCTGGGAAGAGGAGGAAATGGGTTACAAGTATTTTGAAACTGTCACTTCATTTCCTGCACAGCCTTTTCTGAAACTGACGGAGATTACTTTAAGAAAATCTAGCATTTCATTTTTCCCTCTGTCTTTTTTCTTGACTTACTGGGGCTCTTTCCAAGAAGCCGCTTCTGAAACTTTTTGTGACATATAGAGACCCACTCCTCTTACAAACAGATATGGAAACCTGAGTTTTGGATCTAGGCTTTTCACAAGAGAAAGAGTAAAAGAATCTTCATAGGATTTCTTGCTCTGCAAACTAAGAGGTTGGTGAGATTTCACTGCAAAGCTAAGTCTTTTGCTTGTAATAATTGAAAAATGGTATTTAACAATAGATGAAGTGCAGAGCTGTGGAGAGTTTTTCAAAGTTTGTGAATACTGCTTTAAAAAAAGTTGTCAAAAAGCTGTCACTTACTGGGCTGCTACAGAAGTGAAGTCAGAGCTTGCTTTCCTTCTTTGTCCCTGTAGGATTTGGTCAGATCTTTGACCAAAATGTGTATATATGTGTCTTCTGTTCCTGTTCATCATGAAACATTGCACGATCTGTGATTTTCAAACATGAAAAGTCTGACAGAGATCGTCCTGGTCAGAATTTTTTGCCAATGTTCTTGTTGAATGGAAAACATTTCCTTATTTTTTTTATTTATTTTTTTAAAACAAACATAAATTACACTAGTAACATGCTTTCTGAAAAATAGTCACCTCCAAATCTACAAAAACTATTTGGCTTGATTGCTCTGGGTTTGAACAATAAATTGCTTTTTGAAAGATTAGCTCAAAAAAATATCTATCTTCACTAGAGATCTTCTAGAAGTTTTCTGGCTATTTTTGATTTGTTCATGCATTTGTACTGTATCATAATATGTTCTTTAATTCTAACTGTGCTGAGTAAACAAGAGAAGGAATGGAAACTCTCTTGATCTTTTTCTTCTTTCTTTTAGCTAAGATTTTTTTCTCATCAAAGCTGAGGTATATTCTGAGGTTATATATGGGGTACCACAAGCAAAAATGTGAGAGGAAGAACTGCTTCATTTAATATTAATGTGGATAATTATTCCAGTAGGTCAAGAGAAAAATCAGCAAAGATTTCACTAAATCATAAGATTGCTCTGTCTTTTGTCTACTTGAGACATCCATTTTCAACATACATTCTAGAGTAATTTCAATACAAGAGCTCAGTCTAAGCAATTAAACTAAAACTTGCAATGCATACATTCTAGAGTAATTTCAATACAAGAGCTCAGTCTAAGCAATTAAACTAAAACTTGCAATGATAGACAGTGATACACTAAATCTGGCTTCAGGATTCGTACTACCTGATACAGCATCCCAGCAACGTGTCACAAAATGTTGACATGCTTTTATGAGTCAGTATAGTACTAGATCATGCATTGTCTGTCCCTTGTCCTGATCTAAGACATGAAGTTGTCATAAAAAATTTGGATTGATTTAGTGAGATTAAAATCAACCCAACTCAAATTTGGTTACCTCTGTGATCTTGTCTACCTTAGTGTTAGGAAATGGAGTACTGCACCTCAACGTGAACTAAATGATGAAGTACCATAATTATCTGAGAGGCTGCATGATTACAGAAAACCTTGAAAGGCAACACAAAACTTTCTTGGGGAGTCCAGGAGAAGTAGTTCTGAAGATCTGATGAATCTATTATCTACCAAGACATTAGTTGAACCTTTTCAGAAACTGCCTTAAATGGAGCCTCATCAAATAAATCTGCTCTAAGAGTAGAAAAAATACTTCAGATATACAGTTGACTCAACCATCCTATTTATTGCTAATATAGTAATTCAGATCAGTTATTTTTCTCATTCTCAGAGTAATGAAAAAAAAAGATCCAACTCCACATATAGTAAGCACTACCAAGAAGCTAGTTTTGTAGTGAATTTCATATCTACCTTACCTCTATGACATATTAGATGTGCATAAAACGACCAGAAGTCTGACCTTGTTGCACTGTTCAATTACTTTGCCCTGTTTGTACGTGACTAAGTCAGGTCTGGGGACCAAAGTGGATCTTTTGACTTATTCTCTGAAACCAAATTAGGACAGTAAGGAAAATCAGTCTGCTGCAAAAAAATTCCTAGGAAGGGTTGAATTTTCTGTGTTAAGATTTCCAACACGTTCTGTCAGTTTGGATAAGGAATTACACTTCTGGACAGTTATCAGCACTAAGCTGATAGAGGTTGGACCATCAATAACTCTTAGTTTGATTTTTTCCAGTTTTCAGATGATGCATGCAGTAGGCCAGATAACTGTTTATTTCAGCTGAAGAATTTTATTTTTACTGAGTGAGACTATTGATGATGAAATGAATAAATAATTTTAAAATGAAAAACTAATCCCTGTGTATATAGTTCATTTCATCTCAGCATTTAGTATTTTATTTAAAACTAAATTGTTCGTACAAATTATTGACTTTTAAATTAAATATTTTATTGTAATTAAAACTCAAAAAAAAACACAAGCCATCCAATATCATACCACCTCTTCTTCCTCCTGCTACTATCCATCCCCATCTGTGATCTAAGTGGAGTGCCAAAAGAACTCTGTGATGATTAATTGTGGCCTGATTATAGGTACTCTCCTTTCTCAGAGGTTTTTAATGAGGGTTAATTGGTGATAGATGTGATTAATTATGCATCTTCTATTATTGCTACAATTTTATAAGTCATAATTGTTTGAATAATCAGTTTACCTGTTTCTATTTTGATTTCTTACAAAAGATCTTTTAAAATAAATAAATAAATAAAATTTAAAATAGCAACAAAGTCTTCACTACAAACTGATCAGAAGTGTGAACCCGCAGCTAAGGGGATAGTGACTCTTCATATCTCAGGTCCATGTTAACAAAAGAAGGGGAAAAAAGACTCTAGATTGCATTTTCTTATGTGTCATCATTTTCTGTTTCTAAAAGTATCCTTGCCTCCATTGCTTTACTTTAGTATAATGGAAGATCCAGAAGCAGCATTTTTGCATGAGAAATTGGACTGTTACGGCCAATCTTGTAATTAGGACAGAAGGTAGGTGTCTTAGATTCACATTTAGGGAAAGAATGACAAAAGATTAATTGCAGTCTACTGAAATTCTAAATCTAATGACATAAAAGCAGAGTTGGCCTTTCTTCATTAGTCTATTTCAGGATAGCAGTGTAACTTCAGGGAATACCATTCTACATCATGTTTTGTTGTTGTTGAAAATAATCAGAGAGGTCTTCTTTTATAAAGTAGCCTGATGAAGAGAAGCAGGATCACAGCTGACAAAGGGAAATGTTTTTTCACTACTGAGAAACCCATTTGGTAATGAAGTATTCAGTTTAAACCAGACTTTTTGTTCTGAGCTTTGGGAAATTTGTTTTTGCTCACTAAGCGATTTAGAGCAAAAAAAATCCATCCTGCCCTCTTGTCTGAGTGAACTGTGTAACAAACCAACAAAAAACAACAAAAACAAACAAACAAAAAAAAGCAGCAAAAAAATCCCTGTCAGAAACACTGCACTACTTTTCTATAGTATCCATTGCTAAATCTATCTTGAAATGATTATAGCTTTATGATCAGCTAATTAGGAACACTCATTATAATTTTCATTGGCTGTTTGCAAAATATTACATCTGGACAATTTAATGCAAGCTACTCCATGAACGCTTCCTTAAAATAACACACAAACAAATTAAACAGTACAGACATCTCATTTCATGACAATATTGTTAACGTCATTTTAAAACTGCTAGTAGAAGCAAACTAAAACAACATAAATTAGGGCCACAAAAATGATCTGAAGGATGGAACAGTTTCCCTACAAGGACAGGCTGAGAGCTGGGGCTGTTTGTCCTGGACAAGAGAAGGCCCTGATTTAACCTGATAGCAGCCTTTCAGTATCTAAAGGGAAGGGAGACTATAACAAAGAAGGGAACAGACTCTTTACTGGATCTGCTGCAATAGGACAAAAGGAAATGGTTTTAAACTAAAAGAGAGGAGGTATAGATTGAATATGAGGAAGAAGTTTTTTTACAAGAGTAGTGTTGGAGTAGGCACTGGAGCAGAGTAGGCACTGGAACAGGTTGCACAGAGAGATAGTGGAATGCCTCATCCTTGGAGACATTCAAAGTCAGGCTGAATGGAGCTCTAAGCACATGATGGAGCTCTAGGTGTCCCTGTTCATTTCAGGGAAACTGGGCTAGATGACCTTTAGTGGTCCCTCCCAACCCGGAGATTCTATGATTCTATGAAAATGTGTAATATAGAGTCCTAATCTTCACAAACATAGTATCTTTATTTCTGATATTTTTTTGATAGCCTTTTGCTCCACATTTTTTACTGTTGGGATGGATGGCAGCTGAAATATTTTCTTTTATTTCTTATACATAGAATTAAATGAGGAGTCATTTTTATAAACTTAGTGTACTGCTTGTATTCTTCATGCATTACTCCTCACCAAACAGGCCTCATATGCACATAAGAAATGAATGCAAAGTATTAAGTATCCTGAAATCATTGCAATGGCTTGGCAGTTTGTTTCAGTGCGGTTCCTGTCCAGACACCTAATAATTATTGAATTTTTAGCCTTAAAGTGGCAGTAAAAATAGGTGGCTCTATGCTAATGCTCAGGGAGTGTTTCATGTATGGTGTCAAGTGGAGAGGGGCAAAAGGGAAAAAAGTAAAAGAAAAAAAAAAAAAAAAGAGGAAATGAGTGATGCAGTAAAAAATTAAGGGGAAGTTGAGGGAAGGCCAAAATGGAAGAGATGAAAGAGAGAGAATAGCAAGCAGGCAGAATCTGGCAAATTGTAGAGAGCATCAAAATGATGAAAGAAATAGAGGGTGAAGACAGAACTGTGAAAAAAAGGAAAGCAGAAGACCAAGAAAAGTGGCAGGTGACTAGTTCTGCTCTCTTAGCTGTTAATCCTATTGTTCATAGCACTAAGCAGTCCTCACTCCCATATGATAATTTCATATTTCCCACCTCACCACAAAGGTGAAAGCAGTAGCTCTGTTTTTAAATTTTTAGAGAATCTAACAGTTGGAATCAGCTGCCACTAAAGCATGGATGTATAAATCTTTTAAGAATAGACTTCATTAATTGCCTGGAATTAAAAATAGACATTCATTAATTACTCTTACTGGCTTTTCTTCTTTATAAATTTCCACCAAATGGTGAACTGAGGATATGATAAATTTATCCTCCATAGGAAACGATTGTATAATCATAGAAACAGGGATATGGCTATTCTTTTGAAACTGTCTCCTTAGGATAGAAGAGAAAAAAAAAAAACGTGGGCTGACTTAAAACTTGTCAGATTTAATATGTTTCATTTTTATCTCAAAGAGAAGTTCTTGTTAAATTGTCGGGTCAAATACAATAGCCATAAAGCTGTGACTACAGTTTGAAAGCCAAAAGGAGAAGCTAAACATCTGAAGAGAGAAAGAAAAGAAAGATTTTAAGCTGAGTGAAAATAATTGATAGAAATTGACAGATATCATTTTAACAGTGAGTCAAAAAATATCTCTTTCAAGTGTGTGATTGTGAACTTGTGTATATTATTTATAAAATTATTAATATTATTAAAAAGATGTCAAAATGACTGAATTAATAAGTGGAAGGTTAATGCTAGGATATTGAAAACAGTGTAGAAACATGCCCACTAAACCGACAGAGTACAAATTCTCCAGGATATTACATGTCCTTTGTAGAGGCTTATTGGATTGGGTTAGACAAGTGAAGTAACAACAGCAAACGAAAATCATGATGCAACAGAAAGTTATCTAAACAACCAGGACAAAACAGAAGTAGCACAGAAGGGAGTTCTGTCAGTAAGTAATGGAATCATTACCATTCTGAAGGCAAAATATAGCAGAATTATACTGAGCAACTTCTCAGAATCTATTCTGAGTCAGTAACATCTCAACACAATGCAGCTTTGACACTGGAGGTTGTTTTGTCTGTTGGGCTGTCCCCAATCCCAGACATCCTATCTGCATGGGGTGTCTGGACTCCCACTGGAAGCCATGGAATCTCTTGCAGCAGCTGCACCATGTGTATAACCAAGATGTTATAATTGCAATATAATCAAAAGAGTAAGG